CCCAGCATTTTGGGAGGCTGAGGTGGGCAGATCATTTGAAACCAGTTTGGGTAACATAGTGAGACCCCATCTCACATACTGAGACCCCTACAAAAAACTTAAAATATTATACGTGCCTGTAATCCCACCTACTTGGAGGCTAAGGTAGGAGGATCTCTTGAGCCCAGGAGATCGAGGCTGCAGTGAGCCATGATTACACTACCACACTCCAGCCTGGGCAACAGAGCAAGACCCTGTCTCTCTCTGTGTGTGTGTGTGTGTGTGTGTGTGTGTGTGTGTGTGTGTGTCCCACGCTATGGGAAAAGTAGTTCAACAGCTGTTTATTGAGCACTTGGTATATACTGGACATTGTGCCAGGCATGGAGATAGAAAGATGGCTGAGATGGGATCTTGCCTTCAAGGAACTTTTGGTCTAGTGGGAGGGAAGATTTCAGCACAATATTTACCCGCAGTGATAAAATAAAGCGCACGCATGATGAGGCTTCCTGGGAGCTGTGTTGCAGTAAGTCCTCAGGGTGACTTGGCCAGGGGCATAGAGATGGGTGTGGGCAGGGAGAGGAGGCACCACATAGGCAGGAAGGAGCCAAGCCTTGCTGAGGAGCCTCTGGCATCTTAGAGGTCATTGGAGAGGGCAGACCCGTCATGATGTTGGCACTCGACCCCAGGGAAGGAGCTGGCTTATCAGTGTTACCCATTCTTAGAATATTCAGTGTGATGACTGGCCCTCTGTGGAGTCTCGGGGTCCCAGAGCTCTGCCTCCCTCACTCCCCATCCCCAGCAACTTGGGAGCTCCCGGCTCAGCAGCTGTGCCTTCTGGTGGCGCCTCTGCTGCTCAGCTCCACTCTGGTTTCATTCCTCCACCAACACCTAGCTTGTGCTTTGTTTTTGTTTGCGATGGGGTTTCTCCATGTTGCCCGGGCTAGTCTCAAATTCCTGGGCCCAAGTGATCCACCCAGCACAGCCTTCCAAGTAGCTGGGGTTATAGGCGGGAGCCTCCATGTCTGGCTTAGCCATCATGTGTTTTGTAGCTGAAATATACCAAGTTGGTTCACATCTTGTCTCTCTTAATTCAGATAACTGTCAAAGTAGATTCTTTAAAATCCTCCTTTTAGGCTGGGCGCTGTGGCTCACGCCTGTAATCCCAGCACTTTGGGAGGCCGAGGTGGGTGGATCACTTGAGGCCAGGAGTTTGAGACCAGCCTGGTCAACATGGTGAAACCCCATCTCTACTAAAAATACAAAAACTAGCCGGGTGTGGTGGCAGGCACCTGTAATCTCAGCTACTTGGGAGGCTGAGGCATGAGAATTGCTTGAACCTGGAGGCAGAGGTTGCAGTGAGCTGAGACAATTCCATTGCACCACAGCCTGAATGATAGAGTGAGACTCTGTCTCAAAACAATAAAAATAAAATCCTCATTTTAGGAGTTTTTAATTTAAAAATGGAAGCTCAGACCAGGGAGGTTTTTTGCCAGAGGATTGAACTAAGGTTTGTCTCCTGTCCTTCCCTCAGAGGCTGAGAATGTGCTCATCTAACTCTGGAGGCTGCCCTTGTCGGGGCAAAAAAGTTAAAAGTCGTGTGTACACACCAGGGTCCAAACAGTACTCTGCTTTCAGGTGACCTGTGTGGAAAAAGCTGCCTTTGGCAGGAGTTTGAATTGGCAAGAAAAAGAAATCCCAGTGGGCTTCCTTCAAATAGGCTCCTTCCTGTACGTTTGTGGCATGGAGTGAATGCCATCAGCATTGAGTCTAACACTTTGGCTGGCAAGGGAAGGCCTGCTCACTGAGGTGCCTGGGTGAGGCAGAGGCAAGGTAGGCTGGCCGTGCATGGCCGAGGGCCCTTGAGCTGGAGGAAGGCCCGCAGAACACCAAAGAAGCCTTCTGCACACATCCATTCTCCTTCCTCCTCCCGTCTAATCCTGGCCACCCACAGGAAGTGCATCAGGTAGCAGGTCCCCGCCATCTGGTTCCTTCCTGGGTCTCCGCACCCTCGTGCTGCCCCTCTGCATAGACTACCTTCACTTTGCCCTGAACCACCAGAGCATGGCCCAGTCCTCAGCTCCGTGGCCAGAGCTCTGAGCTCAGTCTCTGACACACAGGAGGCACCTGGTCAGTGCTGGGTGAACAAACATCCACACAGAGCACAAATGAGAGGAAAGAATCCTGTCAGGTGCTTGAGAGTTGGACATGACTTTTAAAATAAAATTGCCTCTCTACAGTGCTTTGTCCTCGCGCCTGACCTTCACATACATAGTGAGCACAGGCGCATCTTGGGTGTTGTGACCTGTACACAGTACTTACCCTTAAGCCATGCTGACCCGGGGCTCCATCAGGGATTCATCCATAATCCCGGTGCAGGCCCCAGGGGTGGCTGCAGTGTGTTCACTCTAGGGTGCCGGCTACGTGGCGATGGATGTGGTGATCTTACTTCATGAGACTCCTGGCCTTTCCTCCACGCTGCAAGGAGTTAGCGGGTCCTCCCAGAGAAAGTACAAAAGGCCTCCACAAGAAAGACTTGAGGGCAGTAGGGCTTCTTTAAGTGGGACGTAGTCTCAGACAGCCAGGAGAGCGAATTCTCAGTCCCTCAGTAAGTACTAAACTCCTGGTAAATGCCCAGCTTCGTGGGTACTTAGGTATGACAGAAATGTTTCAGTTCCTAGCTGTTTGGTAAGAAGAAACACACACGGAAATGCCACCAAAAATACAAAGCTGTCTACATATGGTGCCATATGAGTGTCACAGACAGAAGAACAGAAGTTGGGGGGAAAGTGTCACCGGTCCGATAGGGAGGCCTAGGCAGGGGCTGGGACGTCAGCCACATCTGAGGGACGGTGAGTTTTGTAGTTCAGCGGATGGGCTTTATGGAGAGAGTGGGAGGTCAGCAGGAGCAGTCATGATGATGGTGCTGGCCGTACCACGGAGCACCTCCCGTATGCCTGGGTGGGGTTCCCTTCAGGAATCCAAGGAGGCGCAGCCCGCTCCTCAAGTGCACCGCCCTGCCACCTTCCACCCTGAGCCAGGCCTGGGCTGCCGGCTTTCCCTGGCCTCACACAAGTCAAGTAGATTTTCTGGAATACATTTTCCTTGCTACCAAGGTTATACTGTAATGGTAAAAACTGCAACTAATTTTGCACCAGCCTAATGTTCATTGCAATTTTTCTATCTAAAAAGTATGAAGAGGAAAACAGTTACCCATAATCTTACCGCCCTGAGAGAAGCAGCGTTAACCCTTGGTGCACTTTCTTCCAGGGGTTTTGTAGTGATAAGTGTCAGGTAGTGGGTGTGAGTAGCCAAAGCTCATATGGGGCTTCGTAATGAAAAACCCACTGTCAGCACCACAGCCGGCCCCAAACATGTCCATTGTGAATGGGATGAACTCAGCTGTCTAGTTGGAAAAATTTCCCTTTACCATTCCACAGAGCAGAGCTGACAACATGCACTCACGCACACTCCCTGAAGTGAGCCCTGTTCATGCGGCAGTGTAGCCCTGGGCCGAAGGTGAAGCCGAGCCTCTTCTGGAGCCACAGTCTCTTCCCAGAGCCCCAGGACAGCCTCAGTGAGGGCCCCAAAGTGACCCAAAGCAGCTGGTATGGCCTCTGAGCCCAGCCCTGGGCCTGTCTGCTACACAGCTCAGGTGGCCTCTCTGTGGGCCTCCTGTCCGTTTGCCACGCTCCCTGACTTGCACAGACTTCTTCACCCCCTCCATGCCCATAACCAGAAGCAGCTTTCCAGATGATCCGTATGCTGTTTCCATGGGCCTGTCTTGCTTCAGTCACAAGGGCTAGGATGACTGGAGCTGTGGGCTGGTGGTCTTCACCTTTTTGTTGTATGAAGTTAGAGCTGAGTTACTTTGAGTAGCAGAACAATGCAGAGAGGAGTCTGGATGGAATGAGTAGCCCAGCCAGGGCGGGCAGTAGGCGGAAAGTGTTTGAGTTCGGTTGTACTTTGTAAGAAAATGCATGTGCGTACAGCCTGGTGCCTGTCTGTGTCTGTCATTTATACAGTGTGGACTCTGTGCCACTGATAGGAGGAAGCATCCTTTACTGACTACTGTATCTTGAGTACTGCTTACCATTCATCTCTGTGACATCCCTGTTTTACAGATGAGGACATGGAGTTCTAGCATTTGGGACTGGCGTGACGGGGACTTGCTCCCTGAGCCCAAAGCCCAGGCTCTTTCCACCGGGCCTTCTACTGTCTTCTTTCTTCCTCACTGGGCTTTGCATTTAGCTTCCATCTTTATTACAAGAGGGTCTTGTGGCCCTCCAGAGGTCGGAGGCTGCTCCTTTGACCATGAGACGGCCATTTCACGTACCTCCCTAAAAAATGGAAGGCAAAGGGGTCATCGTGCACAGAGTCGTAGAAAAGCAACTTTCCAGAAGAGATTCCTCAGGAAAACCCTTTCAGGGGCTTCTCTCTGTGCCTTCCCAACTGCCTGGCAGGTGGGCCTCTTCCAGGAAGTGCCAGCATTGAAGTCACTGATTTCCTCCAGGCTTCTTTTCAGATGCTCCAGTTGTAGGTGTCCCACAAGCCATTGGGAAGCATTTCTGTATTCAGGTCCTAGTCTTCTAGGCCAGAGGTTCTCCAATTTTAGTGTGTCTAGAAATCACCTGGTACTTACCAACACAGCTCGCTGCACCCCCTCCCCGAGTTGGGGCCCACCTCTGAGTGAGCAGGTCTGAGTGGGCCTGAGAAGTTGCATTTCTAACAGGCTCCCAGCACTGCTGCTGGCGCTGACGGGGGGGCTGCACTTGGACTACCACTTTTCTAAGGTTTTTACCAGAATCCCCCAGACCTGCCTTTCCGTGGCCCACACTCCCCTTTAAAATCGCCCTGCAGACCACTCTGTGTTTACTTTAACAATTGAGCCAGGCGAAGCAATGGCTGTCGTCTGACGTTGAGTGAGGTCATTGTCCTTTGGCCTCTGAAATCAGAAGCGATGTTTGATCTTTCGCTTCGTGTGGCCTGTGGAGCTCACTCTCTGGGGGAACTGGGTGTTTCAGGTGGTGAGAGCGGCTGAGGAGGCTGCGTCCACACTGGCCAGTTCCATCCACCCGGAGCAGTGCATCAAGGTGCTCTGCCCCATCATCCAGACAGCCGACTACCCCATCAACCTTGCTGCCATCAAGATGCAGACCAAAGTCGTCGAGAGGATCGCCAAGGAGTCGCTGCTGCAGCTCCTCGCCGACATCATCCCAGGCTTGCTGCAGGTAGGCCCGCGTGTTGGTGGGGCCTGCGCCCGGCCTGGGTGGGGCTGCCTAACTTGAACTAATGTTTAAGGGCTTTGTGCTCCTCCTTCACTGGCAACCAGGCAGGACCTGTGAGGCCGTACGGCAGGGACCCTTCACAGCCTCCTGTGCGGCTTCCAGCTCACCCCCTCTCCTGAATGCACTGAGAAGACTTTCCTGGCGACTCACAGAATGAACTTTCTGTTTACTATAAACATATTTTGATCATTTTTTTTTGTCCATTCCTTCAACAAACCCTTGTTGCACACCTGCTGTAGCCCCAGCCCTGGGCGAGGCGGGCCATTGAGTGTAAATCAAACAATGGTCCTTGTCTCACGCAGCACACAAATACTTACTGAAACTCTTCTAAGCATGAGACAGTGAGTGAAACAGACTGGCATCAAGCAGCTGGGTTCCACTGTGTGGACGGCCTCAGAAGACTTTCAGCCTACTGTGCAGCCACACAGACAACGACAGGTGTCACCATGGGCTCCATGACAGTAGAGAAGTGGTTCCGGGCTGGGGTGGGGGAGAGAGGGTTCATAGAAGAGGTGGTTTCAAGTTGGCCTTTGGCGAGGGAGTTTCACTGGGGAAAGATAGAGAGGAGTCAGCATCACTTTTAATCATTGCTGCTGTTTGCTGGGTGCTTGGCTTGGGGATTAAACACTTAACTGTTGAGGACTAGATTATTCCAAACAAAGGGAAAGGCACAGAGGCTGAAGAGTCCCAGGCTGTCTGGAGAACAGCAGGTAGCCCCAGCTGGGTGTGGGCCAGGATGAGGCCGACAGATAGATGGAGGCCCAGCTGCAAAGGGACACGGACATCAGGCTGTGGGACCAGACGGTCCCCAGCAATTCCTGGAGGGTAGAAGGGTTTGCTCACAAGAGCGAGTGATGTTCTTCATTTCTTTTTTTTTTTTTTTTTTTTTTTTTTTTGAGACAGAGTCTCGCTGTGTCACCCAGGCTGGAGTGCAGTGGCGCGATCTCGGCTCACTGCAAGCTCCGCCTCCCGGGTTTTACGCCATTCTCCTGCCTCAGCCTCCGAGTAGCTGGGACTACAGGCGCCCGCCACCACGCCCGGCTAGTTTTTTGTATTTTTAGTAGAGACGGGGTTTCACGGTGTTAGCCAGGATGGTCTCGATCTCCTGACCTCGTGATCCACCCGCCTCGGCCTCCCTTAAAAGGCGTTTTCACAGGGAAATTTGCTTGACCTTTGGGAGAAATGGGAACAAAGCAAGTGCTCTTTTCCCTTCATTGCCTTTTCTCATTCTCTCTCCCCTGCAATGTTTCTTGGGTGGCAGCTTGTTACACAGTAGTGCCTGTGCAGATGCAGAGACCAGTCTGGGACTCGCCACCCTCCTGCTTCTGCGCCCCAGAAACGAAGTTTCTGTTGATGCCAAGTTGTGACCTCTGGGGTGAAAGCTGTCTGGATTCCATTACGGGGCTGAGGTCTATCCTGGTTGTTACTGACAAGTCCAGGGTTGAGCTCGGAGGGCATTTGTGGAAACGCTGATGAGATGTTGGCTAGGGACTGAATCTTTGATCTGGTTTCCTTTTCGTGTTCCTCTGGCTCTCTAGGGTTACGACAACACCGAAAGTAGTGTGCGCAAGGCCAGCGTGTTTTGCTTGGTGGCAATTTATTCCGTAATCGGAGAAGACCTGAAACCTCACCTTGCACAGCTCACAGGGAGCAAGGTATGTATAGTGTTACCTGGACTGAGAAGCACACCTAGGCTCTGCCAGCTCGTCCTAAACCCATTTGACTGCAGCTCTGGATTCCAGACAGGTTTTGTTCATTGTGTTTTAGCTGGGTCTTATTTCTCCAATAGCATTTTTCTAAATATAAAAATGAACTATACAGTGAAATCAGTTGAAGGTAACACTAACATTATACAACATAGTCTGCCTCAACTCCTGTTTATGAAATGCTGATTTTGAGCTGCTGCTTTATTTCCAAAAGAAAAACAGCTTTAATTAGAAACCAGCCGGTTTTTCATGGAAACACTAAAGAAATGTACCTGCTTGCTTAGCAGTTGCTGAATCAGAGCCGAGTCCCTCATGGGCATCAGTAGTGGCAACAGCTGGCTCTCACCCTGAGCCTACGGGGCAGCCCCACGCACTCTGCATGTGTTGACTCATGTTTACAGCAACATCCCTGTGGGCATGGCCATCCCCTTAACCTGCCCCGGGCACAGACCTGACTGCAGGAGGCAGACTTCTTACTCACACTGCTGCCTCTCATGTTCCTTTAAGGGTGTCTGGAATTAGGGGAAGAAAATGGACCAAAATGGATGTCACTGAAAATGAGAGTGGCTGGACTGCTTATTGGTTTTAGTTAAAAGAACAACGACATCACTCAAATCTGACGTGCTAGGCTGGTGAGAGCAGATTAAAAACCTGGCCTCATGCTGCAGCAGGAGAGGCATGGCGGAGAGGTGAGGCCTTGGCTCCCGGAGAGGAGGCCAGTTGTGCCTGGGGCCTCAGAACCTGCCTGTGGAGAAAGCACATCTCTGTGGAGTTTAAAATCCCCACCTTTTTATACAAACCACTCTGTCAAACGAAGCCAGTGGAAAGCATGAAACCAGAAGCACCTGCTCTTATGAGAGGAGGAATTGGCAAGTGGGGCCCATTTCATTTCAGATTGAGCTGTTGCTTTGATACAGCTGGTGAGCATTACAGCTGGAGCCTTGCTTCTCCAGAGTTCTGGGGAAGCGAAGCTCTGGCTGGGGTGTTCAGAGCAGGGTTTCTCCACCTTGGCTCTGTTGACACTCTGGGCCACCTTGTTAAGGTGGGCTGTCCTGTGTGTGGTAGGAAGTTTAAGCAGCATCTCTGACCACCACCGTCTATACTGACATGTGCCAATAGCACCCCCTGCCATTGTAAGCATCACTGCTGTCTCACATCTGCCCAGATACCCTCTGAGGGGCAGAATCACCCCTGGTTAAGAACAGGTGGTCCAGAGGAGACACTTTCCTCTTTTTGTAACCAGGAATCAGCAGATAGGCTGGAAGAGGTGTATGAGGCGGGTGTGCAGTGCATAGTTTGTGGGTGACCTGATTCTGTTCTCCAGTTCCTTCTCCTCGCCCTACTGCTACACAGGCTCCTCATCAGATCCCCTTCCTGATTATCTGAACGGTCCTGAGCAAAAGTCCCCCCAGCTCTCCTACCTCCATCAGGGATTTGTAGGTGATTCCTGCTGACCGGGAGGACTTTCGATGGTACAGTTCACAAAGGAAATTAGATTTAGAAAATGGAAAATTCATCCAAAAATAACATGAATCACACCTTGGTTTTGTCTGGCACTTTTTACTTTCCTGAGGAAGAGAGTTGCCCCATCAACTCATTTGACCCTTTGGATAAGGGACAGAAAACCCAGGTGTCTTCTCCCCATTTGGCAGCGGACCCACTGCTGCCACTCTTGGTGAAGCTTTGGGTCCAGAACCCACGTTCCTGACCAGGAGCCAGCACCTTCCCTCCCCCAGTTACACCCTTAGTTCCTCAGGGGTTTGGAGAGACTGGCCTTCACATCTTTCTGCTTTAGTAGCCCAGTTCATCCAGCCATTAAGTTTTTTATTGTTATTATTATTTTTTTTGTATATGGAGCCTCGCTCTGTCACCCAGGCTGGAGTGCAGTGGCACAGTCTTGGCTCACTGCAACCTCTGTCTCCCAGGTTCAAGCGATTCTCCTGCCTCAGCCTCCCAAGTAGCTGGGATTGCAGGCGTGTGCCACCACACCTGGTTAAGTTTTTGTATTTTTAGTTGAGGCGGGGTTTTGCCCAGTTGACCAGGCTGGTCTTGAACTCCTGACCTTAGGAGATCCTCCCGCCTTGGCTTCCCAAAGTGCTGAGATTACAGATGTGAACCACCATGTCTGGCCTAAATTTTTTTTAATGTAATAGCTCTGGTATATTCGTATGAACTTCGTAGACTCAGGTACACATCTCCTAATACAAACTCCCTCCCTTGCTCAACTGGATGGTAGCTGGCAGAACCTGGTGCTAAGTCTGTCTCAGTTTCCTTCACTAGAAACAAAAAGAATCAAGTCATGGCTCCCTGTGTTCCAGTGTTACAGGCCTATGGGAACACCTTCTCCTTTTGCTTAAATGAGGTTAATAACTGAAGGCGGGGTGCAGGGGCTCACGCCTGTAATCCCAGCACTTTGGGAGGCCGAGGCAGGTGGATCATCTGAGGTCAGGAGTTCAAGACGAGCCTGACCAACATGGTGAAACCCCATATCTATTAAAAATACAAAATAAGCTGGGTGTGGTGGCGCATGCCTGTAATCCTAGCTCTTCAAGAGGCTGAGGCAGGAGAATTGCTTGAACCCGGGAGGTGGAGCTTGCAGTGAGCCAAGATCGCACCACTACACTCCAGCCGGGGCAACAGAGCAAAACTCTGTCTCAAAATAAATTTTTTTTTAAAAGAAAAAGAAAAAGTAAATGATATCAGGGTCTGTAGGAAGAGGTCTGATGAAGGGAAGGAGCCTGTGTAGTACATTTGGAGAGATGCCGTGTTGCTAGGGTAGCAGCACTAGCTTTGGGGTCAGCTTGCCTTCTGGTCTCTGTTCCCCACTTATGAGTTTTATGATCTTGAACAAGCATTCTTTTCTTCCGCCTGCCCCCAATCTTTTTATCATGGTATAATAAAATTTACCATTGTAACTTTGTTTTTTTGAGGTGGAGTCTCACTCTGTCACCCAGGCTGGAGTGCAGTGATGTGATCTCGGCTCACTGCAGCCTCTACCTCCCAGGTTCAAACGATTGTCCTGCCTCAGCCTCCCAAGTAGCTGGGATTACAGGCACCTGCCACCATGCCCAGCTAATTTTTGTATTTTTATTAGAGACAAGGTTTCGCCATGTTGGTCAGGCTGGTCTCGAACTCTTGACCTCAAGCAACACCCTCCACCTCCACCTCCCAAAATGCTGGGATTACAGGTGTGAGCCACCGCACCCAGCCCATTGTGACTGTTTTTAAGTGTGTGGTTCATATTATTGTATAACCATCACTACCATCCATCTTCGAAACTTTTTTCATTTTGCAAAACCGAACCTTTGCACCCATTAAACAATAATTTCCTATTTCCTTCTTTCCCAACCCCTGGCCCCCACCATTCTACTTTCCGTCTCCATGAATTTGACTACCCCAGGTATCTCATATACGTGGAATTACATCATACGTGTCCTTTATGGCTGGCTTATTTCACTTAGCATAGTGTCCTCAGGGCTTATCCATGTTGCAGCATTTGTGAGATTTCCTTCCTTTTCCAGACTGAATGTCCATTGTGTGCAGATAGCGCGGTTTGTTTATCTGCTGTCTGTTGATGGACCCTGGGTTGCTTCCACTTTCTGGCTCTTGTGAATAATGCTGCTGTGAACACTGGTGCATCTGTTCAAGTCCTTAAGGTTTCGAGGAACCTCCCTGCTGTTTTCCACGGAGATTGCACCATTTTACATTCTGACCAGCAGTGCACAAGTGTTGGAATTTCCCCACTTCCTCACCAACACTTGTTACTTTGTTTTTATTTTTCATTTTTCTAATTTATTCCTAATTATTTCTAATAGTCATCCTCTGTGAGATGAGGATGGGTATCTTCGTTTGTTGAAAAGACATGCCCGATGGCGATTTCTCATCTGTTAAAAATGATCCTCTCCCCATTGAATGGTCTTGGCGCGCTTGTTGGAAATCATTTGATTGGGCCAGGAGCGGGTGGCTCACACCTGTAATTCCACTACTTTGGCAGGGTCACTTGAGGCCAGAAGCTCCAGACCAGCCTGGGCAACAGCAAGACCACGTCTGTGCAAAAATAAATAAATAAATAAACATAATTTTTTTTTGGTCACCCAGACTGGAGTGCAGTGGCACAATCATGACTCACTGGCACCCCTGACCTCCTGGACTCAAGCCATCCTCCCATCTCAGCCCCCTCCCCAAGTAGCTGGGACTACAGGCACACATAATCCAAGCCAATTGTTTAATTTTTTGTAGAGATAGGGTCTTGCTGTGTTGCACGTCTGGTCTTGAACTGGTTCCAAACGATTCTCCCACCTCAGCCCCCTACAGTGCTGAGATCATAGGCGTGACCGTGCCCAGCCAGTTTTCTCTATTTTTCTATTCTCTGTTTTGTTTATCTCTGCTCTAGTCTTTATTGTTTGCTCCTGCTAGCTTTAGATTTACTTCTTTTTTGTAGTTCCTTAAGGTGAAAGTTTAGGTTGTTGATTAGAGAGCTCTCTTTTTTAATGTAAGCATTTATAACTCTAAATTTCCCTCTTCAGCGCTGCTTTGCTGCATCCCCCAAAATTGTCTTTTCATTTTCATTTGTCTCAAGATGTTTTCTAAGGCCGGGTGCGGTGGCTCATGCTAGTAATCCCAGCACTTTGGGAGGCGGAGGCAGGAGGATCACTTGAGCCCAGGAGTTCAAGACCAGCCCGGTCAACATGGCAAAACCCCATCATACAAAATACAAAAATTAGCTGGGCATGGTGGCGTGCACCTGTGGCCTCAGCTAGTCAGGAAGCTAAGGTGGGAGGATCACTGATCCTGGAAGGTTGAGGCTGCAGTAAGCTGAGGTTGTGCCACTGCACTCCAGCCGGGGCTTCCAAGTGAGACCCTGTCTCAAAAAAAAAAAAAAAATTCTGTTTTAAATATGTTTTCTAGTTTACCTTATGACCTCTTCTTTACTTATTGGTCGTTTAAGAATATGTTACTCAATTTTTACAAATTTATGAGTGTTTTCGTTTTCCTTCTATTATTGATTTCTTACTTCATCCCATTATGGTTGGAGAAGATACTTTGGTATCTTTTTAAATCTGTTGAAACTTAATTTGTGATTTAACATGTGGTCTCTCCTGGAGAATAGGATAAACCATATATTAAATCACAAATTAAGTTTCAGTAGATTTGAAACTTGACGTGTCCTTTGAGAAGGACGTGTGTTCCATTGTTGAGTTTCATATACATCTGTTAGATCAAGTTGGTTTAGGGTTAAGTCCTCTATTTGCTTGCTTATCATCTGTCTGGTTCTTTTATCCATTATTGAGGGTGGGGTATCGAAGTCTTACCTCCAGAAGCTTTTTTGATGCCAAGTCTGTTTTGTCTGATGTTAGTATAGCCAGCTTTGCTCTCTTTGATTATTGTTTCATGGAATATCTTTTTATATCCTTTCATTTTCAATCCATTTATGTCTGTGGATCTGAAGTGAATTTCTTATAGACAGCATATAATTGGATCAAATGTTTATCCATTCCACCCATTTCTATCTTTTGATTGAAGAGTTTAATCCATTTACATTTAAAGTACTGCCAGGCATGGTGTCACATGCCTGTAGTCCCAGCTACTCAAGAAGCTAAAGGTGTGAAGGTTAGAGGATTTGCCCTCTGACCTTGGCCCAGCCACTTCACCCCTGTGGAGCGGGGTTCTCACCCTACTTTTCCCCTGGCTCTGATGGAGCCTTTGGGCTGCAGTCGCCCTTGAGATGAATGGCCCTGCCCCCGTATCCCTTCCTCCATGAGCTGCTGTGGCCCACCTAGTTGTGACACCTGGTGGTGTTCTTGTAATTGCCCACTGCTTTTCCCTCTCCTCCTCTGTGTCCCTCTGTGTCCCTAGCACCTGGCAGTTGCATTGGATGAGCAGCAGGCACTCAGAACATGTTTTTATAATAAATTCCTCAACCAAGGGAATGAAGGGACTTGCTGTTTTCTTACTGTCACCTGGGATTCTTTTTCCTGTTTTCTACTTTCTGATTGCTTTTCTTCTTGCTAATTCAGTTTCATCTTCTCTTTTCAGATGAAGCTACTAAACTTATATATCAAGAGGGCCCAGACCACCAACAGCAACAGCAGCTCCTCCTCTGATGTCTCCACGCACAGCTAATGGCAGCACCTGTCTCTTGTGTAGACCTAGAAGCAATCGGTGGTGCCTCTCAGAGACCTCCCCCCACCCCCTTCATCGGCTGCCCAGTCAGTACAAGGAGGCCCACAAATATTTATTACAATCAGTATTTTGGTCCCTTCCAGCTTTTCTGTAGAATCTTACTGGTATTGAATGTAAAGGAAGCAAGGCCTGTATTGCAGTCTTCACACAAAATGAAAGGAGTAAGAACAGAAAAGAGCCATGCTGAAACATGTCCTGTACAGCCTGCTGCGATGGCAAGACCATGTGTGTGGGGTGCAGTTTTTAAAAATCAGAGCGCTGTAGCCACTACTTGGTAGAAAGTAGCATTTTGTTTTTTTCCAGTTAATAACAGATTTGGGGGTGGGGTGGGGTGTTACTTTGTGTTCCTCCTCCGTAGCCTATTTTCTTGTGAGTATGGTCTGTGTGGGGCCCCTTTCACAGCTGACACCATGAGAGGTGACACATCTTTAAGTTGTGTTCTGAGACCTACTAAAAATGGGAATCAAGTCTTGGCAAGAACGGTCTGAAGATGGCCTTTTAACAAATGCTGGGAATTTTTCTTGTCATATCCGAACTGAAGGCCGACTGCCCTGGCTTTCAGCATAGAATTGGGAGTGTACCCCAGCAGTCTCCTTCCAGCCCTCCCTAATCAACTCCACAGACAAGGTCCTCACCCCAGAGCTTCCATGCAAAGGAATTCTTCAAATTTAAATCTGGACACAAAAATAAGATAAATGTATGGCATCATGTAGGGATGCCTGAGATGGCAGTTCATGAAGCACAGAAGATAAAAGAGAAGTCTTTCATCTTTGCTGCTGAGGTCCTTGGGAACACTGTTGTCATGGGGGTTCTGCCAAGACCTTCATCCCTGGGCTACTGGTGATTCAGATTTAGCAGCAACCTCTTTCCTCTCCCCGAAGTTCTGCTGAAGCTGTTCAGTTCTAACATGGTCTCAGTTAATCTGGTGAATGCCATCTTTACCATCTTAGTTCTGACTTCTGCATTTAATGTGGGATTAAGAGCAAAGAAAAGCCTAGAGAGACTGGATATCACAATTTTCTTAATGTTATAAACTGAAGTCGTTCCTTGAATGTCTGTTGATGAAATAGTCACTGTTTAAGGAAAAAGTAAGTATGAGGTATAGCAGATTGCAGAAAAACAGGAATAGAAACACACTTAAAAAGAACACACGTTTAGAGTCTGTCTTCCTCCTCAAGGAACCACTAGACCCCCTTTTTAAACACACCTTTAGAGCCTAATTACTCCAATGAAAGCAACTAGAGGTTTGCAGTCTGTTTAAATAAATTTTGACTGAAATTCTTAAGCCAAATGGAAATTCTTAATGCAGTCATGAGGACTTCTACTGTCTCTTCCTGTTGTATTAGATCCTGTAAATTGAACTGATTTTTCCATAAGGAAAACGCTTCTTTTGAGATTAATTCTAATAATGTATTTGCTATTCCAGTGCAGAGCCCACTGCAACTGCTAGGACTGAAAGCAGACGCTGGGTGCCAGAGCACGTGGTTGTCACCCTCATTTCCACAGACCCCTCTGCCCTGACCCTCCAGATTGGATGTAGGAAGCTGGGAAAGACTGATGTTGTATTTGGAAACATGCGCTGAAAATGAAGGCCTCATACTGTGTAGGAACAGTGAAGCCAGGGTGCTGACCGTGTGTGTGTGTGTGTGTGTGTGTGTGGCGTGTGGTGTGTGTGTGTAGCATGTGGTGTGTGTGTGTGGTGTGTGTGTGTGTGTGCATGCACCCTACACGTGTGGTACCTCACTGCTGCTGTTTAGGGAACTTGAGGAATGCATTTCAAGGGGTTGGGTATTCCTGACTAGCTTTGGCTTAAAATATAGCAGGACCAGGTCTTTTGTTGATAAATACTGTTAGTTTATTAAAATGTCATGAATGGTATTTCTTTTTTACACTCTACAAGTGAATGAGGGAGTCTTTTGTTGACGCGTCTGTTGTAGGAATGTGCGTTGGGCTAGGTTATCCGTGAGTGTCTTTATGCCTCATGCAGTTAGAAAGACCTTTCTCCTTGAGCTCTTTGACTCCAGAAGGCCCTGCCGTCCCCAGTGTACTGAGAAAGGATGTTGAACATCGCTGGACGTCCTCATAGTACTCACAAAGGGCTAGCCTTGAATGTCACTTGCCCAGTCTTCAGTCTCCTGACAAAGAGAGATACAATCACGTCACAGGTCTCTTGGCCTCAATCTGAAAACTGCTGCCGCCGCGCTGAGGAGACTCGCATGCCGCCACCACCTCACTGGGAGGGCGCCGAGCCCACCGTCGCCCCCTAGACCCTGACAGCTGCAGCTGCCTTGCCTTGCCGCCGCCTCCCTGCAGGGCACCTGTTCCAATGAAAAACAGAACACACAAGAGCAGAGCACCTAGGCCTGCCTCTGCCTCCCCGTCTACCTGACTGGCCAGGGTCCGAGAGCCCTGCTGCTCCACTGCGGGCCGGGAGGGCTGACTCCCTGCTTCCTCCAAGCTGCTGCCTCCCCTGCAGCCAGGGTCTGGGCAGGGTGCGGCCAGTCCTTGGGGCACGCAGCTTCCTTCAAGTGCACTGTGTGCTTCCCGGACCTGCGGCGATGCCACGGGCCTGCCTTTTCTACGCGCCTCACTAGCTTATCACCCTGTGCAGGTAATGCAACTGACTTTGTCTCATCAGCCTTTTTCTTTCCCTGCCACCCTTTATTTATCAAGCATAATGTTACACTTTCAAGGACAGCAAGTAAGAACTTTGTAGAATCCCACCAGGACTTTGCTAACAATCATGTTTGGAAATAAATAAATGCTCTGAAAAATATCAGCCACCAAAATAGTTTTGTTGGCGCTGTGTTCACACGCATGGTCCCCACACCCCCAGGTTGGGTGGGTTTTTTGGGGGTTTTTTTTGGTTTTGTTTTTGTTTTTGGGCTTTTTCATGTTACATCCATATCTGTATTTATATCTTATTTGTTTCACTTTCAAGTGTATCATGGCAAATGTACAGATTTTTTTTTTGTTAATAATGTGCTAGGATTTGCTAAAAAAGAAAACAAACAAACAAAAAAAACCCTTTTGAGTTTGCCCTAGAATAAATGAGACTTAATTCAATGTTCTGCTTGATGATGTCTTTATCACCGCCATGCGCTGCAGATAGCTGATCCCCTCCCCCTGCCATCAGAACACGGCCATTTCAATAAAGAATCTGGGAGGACTCATACATCAGGAGAGTTCTTCCCCTCGTGACATCAAGAGGTCAACCTGTGTAATCCCAGCATTCTGGGAGGCCGAGGCGGGCGGATCACTTGAGCTCAGGAGTTTAAGACCAGCCTGGGCAACATGGCAAAACCCCGTCTCTACTAAAAATACAAAAATGAGCGGGGTCTGGTGGTGTGCCTGTAATCCCAGCTACTCAGGAGGCTGAGGTGGGAGAAGCACTTGAGCCCGGGAGGCAGAGGCTACAATAAGCCGAGATCGCGCCACTGCACTCCAGCCTGGGTGACAGAGTGATACTCCATCTGAAAGAAATATAAATACAATTTTTTATTTAAAAAGGTCAACCTGGGGAAATGTCACACCCGATGGAGTCGCCTGGGAGCGGGTTGCTGTGCCGTGTGTGCAGTGACAACGTGGGAGATGAGACGCATGGGCTGGAATCCCAGCCACGCTCCCGGAGGCTGCATGAGCAGGGGCCTCCCTCATTGGCTCCATTTCCTCCACTGAGCAGTGAGAACAGTAGCTCCCGGAAAAGGTGGAAGCAGGAGGAAGCCTCAGCCTCGAATCCTGAGATGAGCTGGAGAGCCGCTGAGAGCAAGTCACGCTCCGCTTAGAGCAGCCGGGCTGCCCTGCGTGCCTGCAGTTCTTCTCTGCCGGTCACTGGGGCCTGGAGCAGGCTGGGCAGGGCAGGAGCGGAGCCTCTGGGAGCCAATGCACATCACGGGCTCCACAGCCACTTCTTTGAAGCCCTTTTTCCCTTCAATTCTTAAAATTGTGGCAAGATACACATAACACAAGATTTACCATCTTCACCATTTGTAAGTGCGCTGTTTAGCGGTGGTAAATATATTCAGGTCATTGTGCAACCATCACCATCATGGTGTTCTGGAATCCCTCTATAGGGCTCTCAGCTAGTGAAACAAACCCTGTCCCCATGAAGCGTAACTTCTCCATTCCTCCCGCCAGCCCCTTGGCAACCAGCATCCTACTTTCTGTCTCTCTGAATTTGACTATTCTGGGCACCTCGCATAAGTGGATCATACAGTATTTGCCTTTCTGTGACTGGCTTATTTTGCTTAACATGTCAACGTTCATCCATGTTGTATGTATCAGAATTTATTTTTTTAATTTTTCTTTAAACACATGTTCACCTGCATTTTTTCACATTTTTAATTTCCTTCCTAAGGCTGAATAATATTCTATTGTATGGATAGACCACATTTTGAAGCTTTACTTTTTATTAAAAAGTTGTTTTCCGTCGTGTTCCATGATACATCCCGAGTGCCACTATCCAGGGACTCTGTGCTCCTTTCTCCTGTGGCCCACCACCTTGCACCCCTGCCTGAGACGCCACAGGGTGCTCCGGATCGCAGATACGTGGGTTGGAATCCCAGCTCCACCCCTGCCCGCCTTGGGCAGGTCATTTCCTGCCTCAGTCTTTTCATTTATGAATTAAGAACTGCCTGGCTGTGTTCAAAACTATAGAAAAAAATAAAAAATAACTGCCTAGCAGAGGTGCCATGAGAGTTCATGGAGATGATGTAAGTGACGCAGCTGGTCTGAAGTAAATGCTTCCGATGGTCACCTGCCCTGCCTCCTGTGGACCCGGAAATGCACAAGAGGGTGATGTCACCCCCCCTTCCCTCCCCACAGGCACACCTGCGTGTGCAGTCAGAGCCCATTATTCATTAGCGAAACAGACACCCTGGGGGTGGGACCAGGTTCAGGCACAGCAGCCTGTTCAGCTTTCTATATGTGGTTCTCCAACCCTGGTGCCATTGCCCTGCCTTACCAAAGGCAGCCAGGAAGTCCTTGCCATTTTTCAGAGGGTCACAGGCCCCCCGTGAAGAGTGGGGTACTGAGGCTCTTAGCATTCCTGACTGACGAACTTCACACTTTGCAAGATTCTGGTCTGTAGCATCTTGCTGATTTCCACAGCAGCCCTGAAATGAGATGGAAGGACACACTGTCATGTTCGGTTTCCAAATGAGGAGACAGGCACAGGAGGAGCCCCGGCTAAACAGCGACTGATGGAGTTGGGGCCAGGCCCCGCTCTGCTTCTGGTCCGGCAGTGCTCCCCCACCCTCGCCAGGCCTCGCACCCTTCCATCTCCCTGGAGTTACCAGGACTCTCCTCAGAGTGCACCTCAGAACCCCTGGGGCCTTGCGAAGCCGATCATGGCCGGCCTGCGCTGCTGACCCAGTGGGGCTGGGGCAGCCTGAAAACGTGCATCTCCACAGAGCGCCCAGGCAATGCCACCCCTACAGCGCTGGGGACCCCACTTGGGGTACCGCTGTAGAGCATTTTGCTTACAATGTGACAGGCGGTTTGACCCCAAGGTTGGGGACGATCCCGCAAGCTGTGGCTGAAAACAAGGCATGGCCTCAGGAATGTCAGGCCATCCCTGTCATTACAGGTAAGTATAGTGACCAGCTAACTCAGCACTGGTCTGGGATGCCGTTAGCAGAGAAGTCCATGAGGGCCTAGGCCGCCGGGGCCAGAGCTCCCTCCTCAGGGCACAGCTCTCCCCCGGCAGGCGCGGCCCACCTCCTCCAGTATTTATTAACTCACTGCAGCGGCTCCAGGCAGGAACGGACAAAGGTCGTGTGAATGGGTGTCTCATCCCAGCTACGGATTTAAAAGACATTAAAATGCCTCGTGCTGTGCCCTCCTCCGCTGCAGGGGCCCGGCCTCCAGGTGGACCTGCCGGGCCCTGGAGCCCCGGGAGACACAGTGTTCCTGGGTCACTTCCCAGCAGCTGCGGGATGCCCTGCCTCCCCCTGTGCCCTGCCAAGGGAACAGTCTGGGTGGGGCGGGCAGTGCGGCCTCCTACAGCGGCGGTTCGGGCTCTGCACCACCGTGGCCTCTGCTCCCCCACCGTGAGGACTTGGAAGGGTCCAGAGGTATGTCCAGGGCCAGCGCCCAGGCCATGCCTCTCGTCTGGTCTTCTGCTTTCCTGTCTGCTGTCCTGCCATTCCCACTGGACACTTGCTCATTCTTCAGTGGGGACAAGAGCTGGGACCTGTGAGTACTTACTACTGCCAAGCTGGCCGGGTGCAGTGGCTCATGCCTGTCATCGCAGCACTTTAGGAGGTTGAGGCGGGAAGATCAATTGAACCCAGGAATTCAAGACCGGTGTGGGTCACAGAGGGAGACCCCGTCTCTACAAAAAGTTTTACAAATTAGCTGGGTGTAATGGCAAATACCTGAAGTCCCAGCTACTCAAGAGGTGGAGGCGGGGGGATCGCTTGAGCCCAGGAGATCGAGGCTGCAGTGAACCTTGACTGCACCATTGCTCTCCAGCCTGGGTGACAGCGAGAGACCCTGTTTCAAAATGACAAAACAGAAACCAAACTCTGTTCCGATGCTGCGCTGAGCTTTCTGATGTAATCCTCACAACAGCCACATGAGGCAGTTCCTATGATAATTCCCATTTTGTACATGGGAAACAGTGGCACAGACACTCTCAGGAACTCACCTGGGGTCACAGGTCTCTCTCGTAAGGGAACTGGGATTCAAACCCAGGAAGTCTAGCTCTAGACTGAACCGGAGGCTTTTGCTTTGTAACTCTGTCCCTTCCCTGAGCCTTCTGTTCCATTCCCATCCACCTGACTCTTGTTAGCAAGTTCAGATGGGCCGTGGTCACAGGCAGGCCTGCCCAGCGTTTGACACCAAGCTCATGGTAAACACTCCGCAGCACTGCCCGGGGACTGCTCACTGGGCCTGGGTGGGAAAGACCCACCTGGGTGCTGGAATCTGGGGCTTAAATCCAATTCTGAGTGTTTTGATGCCTGTGACTTTAGCCAAATGACTCCAGCTTATGACGACCTGTTTCTTCCTCTGTAAAACCCTAGGAGATGGGAACTGGGGAAGCAGGGCTGGGGGGTGTGTGTGTGAGGGTGTGAGGATTAGCACACTGTGTTAAAGTCCCTGACACCCTTCCAGAAGCCTGAGCAAATGTCAGCCATCATAATTCCTGTATTATTACTATCCTCGAGGTCCCTGCCCCTGTTTCTCACACATGACGCTCAACAAAGGTCTGGACAAATGAACAACCGATGTAAAGTCTCTGCCCCATCACCCCCCAGTCCACGGGAAAGATTCACACGACAACTGTGGGCTTTCAGGCGCCTTTCCCTACCTCGGGAGATGATGGGGCTGGGGACAGGATGGGGCCAGCATCCCCTCCCATTCACCGCTCACCCCCTACGCCTGCCGGGAGCCTCCTCCACGCTGTCCCTGGGCTCCTCAAACCTAGCGCAGCCCGGCCCGGCTTCCCTGCCCGTCTCCCACTGCTTGCTGCTCTCTAGTCTGTGGATGCTGATGCCAGGCTCTCCCCACGCTGCACTCCCCCTTCAGCGCACCCGCAGCCCCCTGCAACCTGCCTCCCATTGAACAGATGCTGCTGGGATCCTCTCCTACCCGGCCCTTTGCTCCCAACTCCCTACATCCTCCACCCCTTCTATCCTCTTCCCCAAAGCTGCATGGCTGCTGGGTTTTTCTTTTGTATTTGTATTTTTTTGTTTTGTTTTGTATTTATTATTTATTTATTTTGAGATGGAGTCTCACTCTGTCGCCCAGGCTGGAGTGCAGTGGCGCGATCTCAGCTCACTGCAACCTCCTCCTCCTGGGTTCAAACCATTCTCCTGCCTCAGCCTCCCCTGTAAGCTGGGACTACAGGCATATGCCACCACATCCGGCATGTATTTTTAGTAGAGACGGGGCTTCACCGTATTAGCCAGGATGCTCTTGATCTCCTGACCTCGTGATCCGCCTGCCCCAGCCTCCCAAGGCGCTGGGATCACAGGCATGAGCCACCATGCCCAGCCTTTGTTTTTTGTTTTTTAGAGACAGGGTCTCACTCTGTTGTCCAGGCTGGAGTGCAGTGGCGCCAT